GCCATGAAACTGATACAACGAAACCCTTTCGTCAACGTGCAACTTTACCTCTCAAGCCACGCCTACTCACCATACTCACATCACTCCTTGCTCTTCCCCTCACCCAAGTCAACCTCGACAAAGTCCAGCTTACCATCCTCCTTCCTCACACCACTATAATGCACAGACTGTTCTGAAGATGCGCGCACACTACGACTATCGCCTAAATCCCCACCCTGGTGGCCGTCGCCCACATACGGTGAGGGGTTATTGTCTTGGAGCTCGATCTTACCTTCGGATTCGATATCCTTGCTTTTTTCAGCCGCACGAGATTTGCGCCATTTGAGAATAAAGAAGAAGACTGTGTAGATTACGACTATACTCGTCACTGCACCAGCGACAGCCAGACCGATGATAAGGGGACGGTGATCGGGAATGAGGATTGGTGAGGAGGGTGAACTTCGCTTGGTCTTGGCGTTCCGGGGCAAGGTGAAGCCGGATAGGGTTGACATGGTCGCTGTGATTATGGATTTCGGGGGCAGGTTGGTGGTGCGCATGTAGTGTTAGTGAGGATGGTATAATGAAGATAATACCGGGTGGAGCGCTTTAATTTCCCTGTCCGGCTGACGAAATGACGAAAGACTGAGAAGCTTCGTGGTAATTTCGGGTGAAGTAGTTGTAGTGTTGTGTACTTGGATAGTGATGTCCGTGAATAATGTCGTGAATCGGGGTCCTCGACATACCGTACTTTATACGCAGTATGCCCATTGTGTAAGTACATTACGAAGACGCTCGTTGCTTCTTAGTTGCACCTTTGAGTACACCGCAGCCTTGCGCAATGCGACGTCTTGTGCACTAACGTGTTGTGGAATATGATGCAGCGTGTATCTCCAAGGCGCGAAGCAGCTAGTGCTGCAGCCTGCAAAAGACGTAGTACTCGATGCGGCAAAGGTCCAAGGAAAAGCAATTCCGCAGATCGTCAGCCTCCAGCTTTCTTGTTTCAGCCAAATACAATGAAGCAACCAGTCGTCATTGCATCGCCTTTGGAGCGAAGTGGTGTGCGTTCCGCATCTCCAGGAACTTTCTCCGTGTTTGTTCCTGTTGATAAGATCAACCAGGTGTCCCCGGGGGCGCGCCGAAAACTATAACGGGAGGCATGTGTCGCGATGCAGATCACCCGGCCAAATGCATGTCGGGGATCATTCCGTGGCTGTGCCGCAAGCCAGGCGGCCAGCCACTGTGTCAGTTGAACGGCGCGTTGCAGGTACATTTCCCACCTGTTAATCTCTCGAATGAGCCGGTGCATCTCGATCATGCTGTGAGCCTTCTAATGCACGCGGTGAAGGATTGTGTACGACCAATTCGTCGCATCTCCTGTCTGATCAGCGGTGAGGAGGTGATCTGGAAGGGGATGAATAAAGAATGCGCATGCGAGAATGCGGAGTGCATACGGGACGACGCTAACCGCAGCCGCGTTATTGGGTTTCGGAAAACGCCACCGAATTGAACGCGCGGCTTTACGTCATAAGCGAGAACCTCACATCATGCAACTCAGCTGCGATGCTGAACTCTAACAATAGAACACCATTGAATCAGCAGCCCCAGAAACAGACGCTGTCAGGAAATTTATAGCCGGTGTGCCATAATGATGAATGGAAGAAATGTCACGACGATGAGTGGCAGAGCATGAAGAGGCAGCGCAGCGAGAAAGTAGTTTTGGGGTATTGTGAATGTTTCATTGAAATGACTTATTATAAGTATGCCGATTGGTAAATCCCAAGTGTCGCTGTGAATCATTCTGGTCCCACACCTGTCTCACGAGAGACGAAGTGATGTCAGCTCATGGCTGATGTCGCTAACCGATCGAAGAAACTGTCAAAGGAGACGTTTTGTGACGATGTTGGAAGGAAGCGGTTGAGTGTCGACCCGCTTACAACAGACCGGCAAGAGCAAGGAGACCACCAGCAACAGCGCCCATGGCAGGGACGTTGTTGGAATCGGCGGCACCGGTGCCGGTGGCGCTCTCAGCAGCGCTGGCGGCAGAGCTGGCAGCAGAGCCGAGCGAGGCGGTGGCTTGGGAGGCCTCGCTGGCGGCGGAACCAGTAAGGCTTGCGGCGTCAGAGGCGATGCTGCTGATGGCAGAGTCGGCAGCGCTCTGGATGGAGGAGGCGCCGGAGGCAGCGGCAGAGCCACCCGCGCTGGTGATGGAGGCAGCAGCGGAAGTGATCTCAGAGCCGACGGATGAGGCGACGGAGGCGAGGTCAGAAGGGACGCCGCCTACAGCAGAGGTGATCTGGGAGATGATGGAGTCGACCTGGGCGTTGGCAACGCCGGCGGCGATGACAGCGGTGGCGATGGTGGAGAAACGCATGTTGATGGTTTGGGTGGGTGAGTTGGTTGGGTGAGTGGGCAAAGAGTTGAGTGTAGTTGGTTTGATGTGGAGATTGTTTGAGCTGTAGGTGGGGAGTAGAAGGCAGGGCGAGAGGAGAGCTCTTATACCAGGTGAGTGCATAAGAACTAGCGCGCTTGTATGTCGCCATAGCCCCAGCGGCCAGCAACAAACACAGCGGCCACCGCCTGCTCGCTTGCGCCTCCTCCACATTTTTTTAGCCACGTAATGCACGCAATTAACTGGCCAGTGAGGCAAGTGACGCCACATGGGAGCGCACTGTCCTTGTCCTTGCCCAGATGCGGCAAGCCATCACAGCCCATCCCAGTCATCGGCAGCCGTTCCTGCTTTTTCGAGTGAAGCTTGATCCGGGGCCGCCTCTGGTTGTTTGAGCCTATGACGTCTGTTGACGAACATTTGTCCGCCGTGTAACGAGATTAACTGGGGCGAGAGGCGTTGCATCCAAGCCACAGCCTGCGACGCCCCGTCTCATCGACAGCGGAGCCATGCATGTCTCTGCAGCTGCCCATGGGACAATTCGGGCTATGGCAAGGCGTGCCAGTGCTATTTCCAGCGTTACAGTGATCAATTCACTCTGAAACAAGTCAGCACTTGTCGTCTGGCCAAGCTTTCTTAATGCTACAGCGACGCGAGTGCGGCGTCGAGCTTGATGACCCTGAAATGCAGGTGCTCACCGGCGTGCGACCAGCGACCGCTATAGCAACCAGCACCACGCTTCCTCTAGCTCGACATCTGCGTACCGCGACGCTGCTGCCAACTCCCATCTCACTGCAATTGCACCAAGGTAAGTGTATACGCGGGTCCACCTGCTGTCAAGGCAACCAGCCACGCGTTGTTTGGGGGCCCGGAGTTCGGTGCATGTTCTGTGTACCAAGAAGATGATGAGACGTGCATGTCGTCATTCCCGGCTTCGTCGTGGACGCCGAGGCAAGCAGTTTCTGAGACGCAAACCGCTCCACCGAAACCGGGCGAACGTCAATAAGAAGACCGAGCTCGAAACCATGACGGAGAGCAATCTTGGGTGAATTGTGGCTCGACAGACGTTAGCTGGCGACGTTGACCAAGATTGGTGGTGTACCTGGCAGCCTTACTCGGGTCCCCTGTCGCGGATGCCGCCAAGCCCGATTTTGCCGTGATTCTAGCCCACAGGATTCTCTCCCGTGCCATGGCATTCTGCACCAACATCTTGATCTCTGATCGTCCTCTCCTATTCCCGACGCGCGTTCTTGATGTCACTCTTGCTCCTCATCGTGATGCAAGTCTCAGTCATGTCCCGAGTCGACTCACTCTGCAATTTCCCATCATATGGTGACATCTCTGCCGCCCTTTGCATCGTGACTAAAAGCACTTTCTTGGCCCCCACGAGGCTCGCTTCTTTAAATCAGAAATGCCTTAGCAGGTTGCATGCCACGAGATTGTGCATCCAGGGAACACGTGGAGCTCCCTTGGATGGAGATGCTCTACTGTTATACGGGGCACATGTCAATGCACATACACTTGCTTGATTCCTACAGGCCCGGTTGATCTGAAATGTTGCAGCCGCTAAGCTGACAGCTGCCGCAGTATTCGTGAGAATGCTAGGCCGACCGACCTACAGGTGTCATATCGTCGTCAAGCTTACTATGTAGACGTGCTGCCGGCGAATGGGAAGGCTATGCGCATCTCAGCTTAGCGCACGGCGTTCCTATTCGACGGCTTTACCACGCGAGCAATATTTCCGGCGGCCGGCTGGACTTCACCTATGTGATCACACCACCACACCACGCGCACCATACTACGTCGATTCCGTCTTTGCTCAATCACTCTGATCTGCCTATGAAGAAGTTCAGCTACAGAATCGCTACACTGCTATTTCTCCAGGTTTGGAGTGTTCGACAGTGCAGATGGCGTCCTAATAGCCGCTGAGGCTGGACACCAACAGCACGTGTGACAGCGCATCACAATGACATCGAATGGGGATTGCGCATCTCGCCTCAAGCGCCCTTGGGAACAGAGCGGGCTCACATCTCGTCTTTGATGGGTGCTCTTCTCGCTCGTCCTACCCTTTTCGTCTAATCGCTACTGCATTAGGACGCCTGCACGACGCCTCTAAATTGCATCTCTAGAGCACTTTCGACCCCATCGGCTTTCTTGGGACATGTTCAGCTACAGTGATGGACCGCTATGACATCTTCCGGAACGATTGCTGAGCTCTGAGCAAGTGCGATAGCTCGCACGCGCGCACCCTCGACTACGTTTGCTGTATTTCATCTTCTGGATCAAAGGTTCATATGGTTTCTACCAAGTCACATTCGACGTCCACATGTGGGCTACGAAGGCTGTGATAATCCAAGATCCACTAGGAGGCGCTTAGTTGCATATGACAAGAACTTAGTGCTCAGCCTTCCCAATGGAGACGTAAGAGAACCATGACTGCTCGTTGTTTGCAAAGGCTGGGTGAGACTTTCTAGGTAATTCTTTCAATGACTCCATTCTGTGTACCTTTACTGCGACTGCCAGAATGAGTACAAACACCGCACGCATCACTATCACAGCAATCATTACGAGCACAGCCGTCTACACACCTTCACCAAGCCTTGACAACGCTCAAGTATCGTCAACATCATCGGCAATGTACCATTCGGAAAACGATCGCTCGCTCTCTACACCGGCTGCCATCGGAATCGGCATCGCTATTGGCATCGTCTGCACCGTACTGGTCCTTGTTACAGTACTGTTGCTACACCGCGCATGGAGACTTCGCCGTTCACCACCAGTAAAGCAGTACAGGCAAGCCAAGTTATGGAAGGGCTTCGAGCCGGTCACTCCGAGCACCGCGAGAACTACTTTCGTTGGAACCAAGATGACCAACATATACTTGACGGAGCTACCAACACCGGTCACACCTGCCTTCCTTATGAGCCCACCGTTGCGGGGAGAGGAAGTAGACGTGGAAGAGAGATCTCGACGCTATAGCGAACCTGCATAGTCATGCTGTATACGACGAATGGCTTGTATGCAGTTTCGAATCAAGCTGGCGCAATATATGAGACAGGGCTATAGCTATGTTGAGAGTCTACGCACGAACTCCATCACGTCTCTCAGTGATCGTGCCCAGCAGATCCCAACTCTGCTCACGACTACGAACAAGAACAACCTGCGCCTTCTACTCGTCGCTGCCTGTAAATGTACAGGATCTTGCAACTGGCTCGTTGAGATCCTGCGCGCTCTCCCAGGCCTCAGCGTCGCCAACTCCTGTCGCGTCGATGAGATTGTCCCCACGCTCTTTGCCCTCAGCGCAAGCACCCTGGACTCCCTGCTACAACGCCTCGTCGGCGGGGCGCGCAAGGTGGTCATTCAAATGTTTACGCACATCAACAAGCACAGCGTCAGCAGCATCACTGCCCTGCTGCAGACTCGCATGTGTAGGTTAGACATGATGATCTCGCGGAACCTCCCCCGCCACGACCGTCGCCAGCCACACCAGAAGAAAGCACAGCCGGCTCCTCTTGCAAGTCTGGCGGGAGTTCCAGTCGAGCTATTTGGCATGATTGTACGCCATCTTGCGTGCTGCGACATTCGCTCTCTCCGACAGACGTGCAACAAGGAGCTCGTGGGCAGATGCAAAGACAGCTTCTACAACATTGTCAATTCGACCGCCGCTTCCCTCCAGGTGAGTCCCAGATGAGTCCCAGATGAGTCTCAGATGAGGGAGACACAAGCACATGCTGACTCCGTTTCCGTAGCTTGACGCCGACTTTCCTGCGCGCGCAGTGTCACTTGCAAAGTTTGAGCGGTGGAGCGATCACATCACCACACTACGCTTCAAGGTCCCGAGAACCGCATTCTTCTACCAGCTGCATCAGGGCGCCGCAGCCGATGGCGATACCTTCTCAGCAATGTCGGATACGAAGGAGTTCAAGTCTGCGCTCGCGCTATTGACGACCCTTCCTCGATGCAAAGCTGTTCAGATCCAGCACGACACCCCAAGCAGCGGCTGGCTCCTATGCGACTACCAATCCAGTCGACGGGAGGTCCGTGACAAGACCATGGCTGTCCAGGGCGACGTGTTGCGCGAGAACCTGGAGGTATGTTGTATCCGCTGTCTGTACAAGACACGCACTAACACTGAGTAGCATGGTCTTGTCGGCTTCATGCTTTCTTCGCACACGCAATGGTACGACGAGTACCGCCTATGCTACTTCGAAGAGCAAGAGAAGGAGGCAGAGGAAGAAGGTCCACGCGCAGAGGCTGAGGAAGATGGCCGGCCAGCAGATGTTGAGGAAGATGGCCAGCCAACAGATGTTGAGGAAGAAGGCCGACGCACAGAGATGGGGGAAGAACGCCGCGGCCATGAAGAGACCGAAGATGCGTACGCAGGCCAGTCCCGAGACATGGTTCGTGATGAGTATCGCTCACGTGGGCTTCCTCGGCCTATCCCCAAGAAGAAGGCGGACATTGTGGCGGCTCTGCAGAAGGACGATTTGAGGAGGTTGGAGTAGATGGTCATGCCCTACTAGGACACGCTGCTCATGGCGCTGACGACCTACAACCACTTCTATGCTACACTCGCTCTGACCCGGGTACATGATCTGTTCCATTTACATATTACGGCTTTCCGGACACTGGTATGGTCTGACGCGCGCGGTGGTGGTGGTGGTGGTGGTGGGCCACTCCTTCCTCTTCTACGAAGCGAAGTAAACAGTCAGCCAAACGCGGTAAGCTTCGTCTCTCGCACACTCGGATTTCAGTTCTGACCTGGGTAGCTCGCTCAATCCCTTCAGTTTGCTTGCAACCAGTACTGCCGCCATCGAAACGCCGCGGCCGCTCTCAGAACCCTGCCGCCATCAGCATCCCTCTCTCCGCCATCAGAACCTCGTCCCCCACCCCGCCATCACAACGGCATTCGCAGGGAAACGCAACGCGCAAGAGCTCAAGAAGCTGGAAAAGACGGATGTTAAGATATCAGAGGCGAGACTCTTCAACGCATACGGTAAGTTCTGGCTGCGCGAAGTGCATGAGACATGTATACTGACTTCATACTGCAGCGACCACACAGAACGTGATTGAAGATATCGAGGAGTTGTTGCCTCGCCTCTCCCCTCACCATCCAGAGATTGCCGAGTTGCTTCAGACGGCCAGGGCGGAGCCCGTGACACCCTTCACCATCCATGGGCATTGTGACGACAGCGAGACGAAGACTTGGCCAAAGACCGACCCTGCTGTGGATCGCTGGTTTCCGAATGCCATTGAGTAAGCTCCGTAAATAGACGATCCGCCCTTCTGGTTAGACCAGCACGCAGCAAACCATGTGAAGCTGTATTAGGTCGCATGGCATGGCTGGCGAATAACGCAGACGGCGAACTATGTCGCATCACATTTTCGCTACCACATCAATCGAGAAAAAACACTGGACAGCCTGGGGCCTACATCGACTTTGGGTCTCACACTTTGCACATTCTCATCTTGATGTAGTCTCCAGACCTGTTCGAATTTTTTCTTGCATGAGATGCTATGCTCCCACATCCAGAGCTAATGGAGAGGTATCGCGCATATGTCACCACATAGGCCCACATCGTTGTCTACAGCGAGAGTTGTGCTCGTCGTTGGTCGCTATCCACAAGCGTTATACGACCAGTACCTCGAGCTCAACCACATCAACGCGACCGAGGTCAAACTCGGACACGGCATAGGACGGATAGCGTGGCTGGAACGTGATGTTCACGGCAAGCTAAGCCGCATCGTCCTCTACATCAACCACCCGGAGTGCTTCAAGAGGTATCGAGCCCACGTTACCACGAAGGCCCAACATCGGCAAGCCCTCCGAGAGCGCCTTGTGGACCTGACAATGGTCTACTTCAGGCGGCCGGTCTCTCTCCCCGCCTTTCTATCTACCACGCAGACATGGCACCAGCACTCGACTGGACAGCTCGTTCCGCTGCGCGTGTTCGCCGACTTCCTTGACGGTGATGGCGATGAGACAGAGCTGAGGACAGCGCTGACGTGGCCACGAACTCCATCTGGCTTGGAGTGCCTCCGCGACTGGCTTCAAGGTCGGTCATTTACCGTTGCAGAGATCTCGAAGATCGCGCTCATCTACAAGGTGCACACCGTCGCCGGTGAGGACTGCCGGACATTCTTTCAGAGCGCCGAAATGATCGCGCGCTATGGGCCAAGGGCAGCCACGTTCGAGAAGGCGATGGAGCGTATGTGGGACAACACCGCGCTGATCGAAGAAGAAGACCACGAGGAAGAAGAGGGACCTACAAGGAAGAGGACCAAAGTGACCGGACTGAAGGCTGGGCTGTCAAAGGAAGGGTACGATCGCCAGACCTACAAAATGAACCAAGCAAAGATCTCCGCTGGTGACAAAATCGCCGCGGAGAAGTTCGATAAGAAGCGCAAGAGCATCACGCAAACCCACAAAACCACACAGGCGAAGGTCGCTGCCATGGATGGGAAGATACCATTTAACGATGCGCTTGACAAGAGCAAGATGTCGACTACGAAGAAGGCACCGAGCAAGTCCCTAGAGTCAGGGCGCCGGTCGAGAGCCCTCCGCGATCTGAAGATCGCACAAGGGGACCCTAAGGCTATCGAGAGCAAGAGAAAGCAGAGGGAGAATCAGGCCAAGTGGAGGCAGTCCCAGAGAGAAAAGGTCAAGGCCTTTGACTTGAAGCAGGCTGAGAATGAGAAGAAAGCGGAGGACGAGCAGAACTAGAAAAACACTTCATACTCATGTTCAGTAGCAGGATTTAGCAGGTGTAGGTATACGCGCCTTTGATAAGTATGACAGAAAATAATCACCCTGGAGATGTTCGCAGTGCTACACATGTGTAGTCTCGCCGCATAAAAGTCAACGTATACCTCAACCTAGGCTATGTAATATGATCTGTCAAGACATTCATCTTTGTAGGCGTCTAATTTGACATGAATTCCTGTCTTCTTGCTGTCACAATGCAGATAACTCTGTCAGAATAGACCCACACGAAGCGGTTAGCTATCGCACGACACAGTGAACAAAAAAGGCTGTCGATACAAGAAGACCCACAAATGTCAATACTACAATATCTCGTGGCGAGGGCAGTTTGTACGCTTTCAATCCGACTTCACTCCAGTGCTGGGCTAATACCAATCCTACTTGTACTGAGCGTCAGAAGCACGTACAATATGTATTAGGGTGGAGGCCATGCTTCGCGCTTCGCAGCAAAGAAGAGCCAAACAAGAGAGCAGGTGCTACACTAACGAATATAGAAAACCAACAAGACAGTGTGTAGTAACAAGCCCAGTGTATGCACCTCCTTCTGTAGTGCGAGTGAATGACCCAAACCACTAAGACCGGGCACGACTGAAGTTTGCAAATTAAAAAAAAAAATCCTAAAAAGCTGCATGCGTCCCAAAGCATTCTTTTCGCACTGCGCGTCGCAGTAAAAGGGCAAAAAGGAGAAGTTCCCACTCCGGGAGTCTGATCGAATGTTAGTATTGAGGGTCGAACTGTGGGGTGTTGTGAATTGAGCTTACCGAACCCGGCTCTTCTCGGTGAAAGCGAGATATCCTAGCCGATGGACTAAATGGGATTATCAGATTGATACGGAATTTTTGAACATTTCTGTTTATCTTTCATCTCACCACTATACGCCCCGGTGCGTGCGTGGCATATATACTGAAGTGGGGCGGCGTCAAGCAAAGAGCTGCTAGTAGGTGGGGTAACGCTGATTCACATGGCACATAATACTAAGTGCCGCTGGATCTCTCAATCAGCACACGAGTGATCGTCTGCTCTGTCGCTGTCGCTGCCGTGGATTTGGCATCGAAAATGCGTTATCAACTAACATCGGGAACAGGAACGACGATTGTCAGTCTTCACCAGATCACAGGCACCTGAAGTATTTGCACGCGAAGAGAATAGTAGTAAAGTGTGCAACACATATCATTCAGTCAAAGAAGCAATGAGCCAAAGCGACTCAAAGCATGTAGGTACAAGAAGTGAAGAACACCAAAGTGTTACTTTCCATCATCCATCCTCCACGATTTCCCCATCACATTTCCTCCAATTGTCATCGCACCACGAACTTAGACGCGGAAAGCGCGGGGGTGGCGGCGAACCTTCTGGCTGGAAGAGCCAGCCTTCTCCTCGAGCCAGGAGATGAAGGTGTCGAGGGTGAACTCCTTGTCGAGGCTGGCGCTGCCGGTCTGAGCAGGGGCGGAGGCAGAGGCAGCGGGAGTAGAGACAGCGGCAACAGCGGCCGAGCTGGTGGCAGCAGGGGCAGAAGAGGCAGAAGAGGCCGGAGCGGACGAGGCAGGGGCAGAGGCAGAAGGCTTGGGCGCGGAAGCGTTGTCAGAGCCGGAGCCGGAGCTGGCACCGTCGAACAGAGCGGGACCGGGCATCTCGTAGCTGGACATATCACCGCCGTAGACGCTGACCTTGATACCAGGGTCGGTGGCAGTGTAGAGCTTGTTAGCCGGAGTACCCTTGGGGGTAGCGGTACCGGAGCCGGTAACCTCGATGTTGATGCACTTGGGGTAGTTCTGGGCACCGTTCTCCTGGGCAGCGGAGTGGAGAGCAATGATCTCGTGACGGAGGACGTATTGGCCAGGGGCAATGCTGTCAGGGACGGTCACGGTCCAGGTGTTGTTGTTGGCGATGAGCTTGTCAGAAGCCCACTTGCCGTCCTCGAAGCCAGCGGCATCGATCTTGAAGAACTCAAGGTCGGTGGACTTGGCCTTGGTGGCATCGTCGACCTTGGCGAGGTAGTCGATGACGGGGCCAACGTGGGACTCGGGCCAGGTGGTCCACGAGATGTCGAGCTTGCCACCAGCGGCGACAGTGGCTACCTTTGCGCCAGCAGTGGCGTCCTTGTGGCAGGCAATCTTGGTGGCATCGTCGTACATGGAGGGGTCGACGAAACCGTTGTCGAGGCACTCCGGGCAGGACCACTCAATGACCTCGGGGGAGGGGGTCTGGTACTGGAAAGACGGGTCGTAGGCAGTGAAGTCCTTGCCGTCAACCTTGATGGCAGAAAGGTGACCGTGGGCGCTGACGGAGGCAGCAAAGGCGCCAAGGATGGCAGCGGCTTGAATCTTGGAAGGCATTGTAGTGTTGGGTGTTGGAAAGTCTGGTTTGGACGAAAGGGCTGGTGTTCAAAAAGGTACTTCGAGATCAACGAAGATAGTAAAGAATGTGAGGCGCTTCAAGCGTGAAAAAGTGAACGAAGGTGAAGTGAGCGAATGTCGACTGACTGAATGACTGTGGTGGTGAGGAATCTCTACATGCTGGGCGAGAGGTACTCTTATACTCAGATACTGCCATGTCGGAAATGGCGCATCGCTGTGCATGTGTCAGATGAAAGGAGTGGAGCTGACAGAAAGGGAACCGTTTCCGTCGTACAATGCTTCAGGGCTGTGGAGCCGGGGTGCTCGATGTTCGCAAGGTGGGCTTGTCACTTGTCATGGCGGTGCTTGTTTCATGGTGTGGCTTCTGATCCTGGCGGTAAACAGAGTATACTGAGCAGTCCTCGGCCAGGTGTTCCTGATCGACGCAAGGAACATGTCAAAGCGAAACGCAAGAGGGGTTGAACATTGAATAGACGCCAGATACAGCTAGCACGTCATTGCACCGGTGTTTGGATGCAGCGGCTGTACATTTTCTGTGGCCGAATTCCCGTACGCACATTATACTCTTACAATAACTCCTCGTTCTTTGGTTATGATACCATGTTGTGTACTTGGTGATGGTGCAAAGAGCTTGGGCGCCGAGAATCAACGACTCTTCCCGCCCGCTGCACACTAGAACCATCTCGACTCGCTTAGACTCAGCGCCTCAGAAACGACATCTACGCGTCACCAAATCTCCCACCACCCAGCGGCATAAACGCAACCACGGCAAACCGGCAGACCGCGCTCTACTCCTCACATTCATTAATCTGCAGCAAACCTAGGTATACATCAGTAGGTCCGATCGTAGCCTCAGCGTCTTTATCTCCGTATGGTCGCTTCCGACTTTCATCGTTTCATACCATGCCCCCCTGAAAGTGGGTCAACGACAGCGCGCGCCTCCACTACGCATGACAGTTCCAGGCGCTTGGTACCAACGTCTTGATTCATACGAACTACGGTGTGCGCTCTGTATTTGCTTTTTCGATCGAGACCAGGTACTGAGACTGGAACACTCCACCGAACCCTCCCACACACCCTTGGCAATTTACGATGCATCGCAACTGACTTCACAACAGAATCCTTCCTCCATTGGTGCCTGAA